TGTTGGCTGTGCCGATAAGTAATGCTCTTGGTAGCAAAAGGTGCAGTATATTCCCCTTAACATACTAAATTTAATGTCTGAAAAAAATTACCAATACAAGGAGATGTAGGTGTAAATGAAATGTTTCACATACTGTACTGTACATCTTTAAAGACTACTAAACATGCACATAGTGTACTCTACATACATATAAATACAGTAATGAAATTGTAGGGTGCTTACACAATCCGTACAATATGAGATTATTGCTGTTTAGGGGACAGAGTATATTAATGAACTGTGAGATTTTAAAAACATCATTCAGCCATTAAAAAAGATAATTGTTTAGTTACAACCCTAGTGTGCTCACATGTGTACCATTACTAGGCAATTAACATATAACTGCTGACATACATACTGTACAGTAGCTTTTTGGTTGTTATATAATACTGCACGTGATCTATTGTTCCTTTTGGCTTTGGGCTTTCATATTGTATGTATCCGTGGACTGAATGTTCACACTGCACTTAAAGTTGTAAATTTGCTCCACCTTGTATACACTCATGAGATAGTAGCCGTGCCACTCAAACGCAGAGTGCTCCTCATTCAGTCTAGAAAGCTTTTCCCTGTAACACAGTATCCAAGTTACTTCACACAGAAGGCAGGAACTGTGAAAGTTTGTGTTCCCTTTATGTAAATCAATCCCCTTCTTCTCTTTAATTCAATTCCCTTACTTCTACTTTTAGCCTTAAGATTTTTTCTCATTACAGCCCCTTCACCTCTTCTTCTTGGTCTCATTTTAGTTACTGTAGTTCCACCCGTGCTCTGCCTTTCTGTCTGTTCCTATCACTCTTACACTCGCTTGGTTCCTTCCTTTTGCCATCTCTCCCATGTTGCACCTCTCTCTTTTCCCACCTCATGCTCATTAGGTCTAATGACAGCTCAGCTTCCTCCAAACAGAGTGTCCGCTCCTTAATGGCCTGGCCTATAACGAGCTCATTTAAAGGCGTGGGACAGAGGGCAGCCACTGGTGTTCTGACAGGCAGCCATTTAAGGGCAGTCTACTGAGGTGTCCACACTGCAGGTCCCATGTCAGCCATCCAACTACCCAGCCTACCATTTCTTTCTGCCCTTCTGTCTTGACAACCTCCCCTCTTGCATCCCACTAGTTTCCCCCCTTGTTCTGAACTCTCTTCAGGATGGCTGGTTTTCTTTCTACTTTTCTGCTGTCTGACCGTCACTTTCTTCGTTCTTTCTCCTTTGTACGGAGTCTCTCTTTCATAATCACTGCTCATCAGTGGGGAGCCCTGTGTCAGTCTCCACTGTCTGGAGCCTGATGATGACATATGAAGCCAGGTTGCCTAATTGTGGTGGTCAGTTTCATAAAAAAAAAAAAAAAAAAAAGAAGCCATAACAAATGGACCTCTCGTCATGCCAATGAAGAATAATGGTTCTTTTATTGCAGGATTAATCTTAATGACCCCATTGCTCATTGGCTGACCAAGAAAGCCTCTCATCCATCAGTTGAAAGCAAAGGAGAGAGGGCCACTGAGATGAAAACCTCCCTGTTGCCCTGCAATTACTCAGGGTTCCAGGCTGACCCTCAAGATTTCTCATTGATCTTTGATAGCTAATACTGTAGCTACATCTCCTTGGTCTTCTTGGCTTTCTTTTGCCGAGATATTGGCAGATATATTCCTGAGGTGCTACTTCCCCATCAGGCTTCTGTTTATATTCCCATCATCTACTGTCTTTATCGGCACTCCCCTTCCACTCCAACCCCCATTCCTATCTTCTGGAGAACTAACTGGAGTTTGATTGCATGATTTATTTATTTATGTAAATTGTTGTTCCATTATTGGTTTAATGAAGACTTAATTATGGAAGATGGAATAATGCGGAAGTAATAATATAGGAAGGAAGAGACTTGTTTTACTGATGCCACTGAAGGCATTTTATACAACACTTACAGCAGGTACAGTATGACTAATGTGATTGATTTTTGTTCCATTAAAGAGGGCCCTGTGGAATTTTATTGTAAAAATACAAGTTATGTTTATATTGTGTAACTCACCAAAATACACTGTGTATTTGATGTGTAATAAAAACATGCCAAATACATGTCTGCTTTTCATAAAACATTACATCCATATTTACTAGCTTTCAATCTACCATTATTATGACTGTGTCGCCTGTGTGCATGTGTGAAAGAGAAACAAAATGGGGACTGAGTAACAGTGCCATAGTACTACTGTACTATAGGTCTAAAACACCACAGCCACGCTTTAAGTGCCTTAGTATTAAAGTAAATCATTGCCAAATGTTTGAGAGCTCATAAAGCAAATTTCAAGTGCTACTCAGTTTTCATGTCAGCATCTGAGAGCACACAAGCACAGATTAGTAAGAGCAAAATCAGATTTGAGTGTGCAGATCCAACTATGCATGCACTCATTTCTGAGTCTGCTCTATTTTCTCCAAGGGTTTTGATATGAAAGTATGTTACAGCCAAAATATTTGAGCACATACAAGCCAAATTTCAAGAGCTTTTCAGTTTGCAAGTCAGGGAGTGCACAGGCTTGGATTTGTAATGCAAAAGTTACTTATAAATGGTCATGTATTTATATAACATTTTTCTGTGCACCTAAGCACACTCAGAGGAAATGAGAAAGGTTACTGGCTTTTTTTTGATAGACTGTGTTCCTGTGCTGCTTTCCAAAAGCAAAGCCTATATTTAATATTATTGAGCTAATTATTTTTAACCAGATGTAAATGATTGCATAATAATTTAGCCGATAGATTTTTAGGTTTAAAAAACTCCACCTCTGTTCTTGTGCAGATCCTCTTCTTGCTTGCCAAGTTTCCCAGCACCTTTCAACTCACCCAGGACCTCCCTCTTTTCATAAAATTACCTGTAACCATCTTCTTTCTTTACTTTATCTTGCCTGTTTTTCAGTTTCTTTGCCCTCACTTCCACTTTTGGCCTTTGCCTAAATCCTCCAACCTACTTTGTCTTGCACTCCCACTCCCTCTCCTGCTCTCTCAGAGTTGCCTGTGGTTTTATTACTCCGCCAACTGCAGTATGATATCGACCTCCTTCCACCTCCAAGAAAGCCTCTGCTAACAGAGAGCTAGAGCAGTGGAATGACCAGGAGCAGGCGGGCCGACCTCGGTCTCAGTGTAACGGCAGGGGGCACTCTTCAACCTTCATTGCCATTTGTTGCTGTCGCTGCCAGCTTGTGCATGAATAAAGTAGGCAGAAGGAGAACAACAATGTTGGTGTTTTCAGACTGTTATTTTGCTGTTGTGTGTTGTGGGTCGTAGCGTGTGCTCATGCATGGCAAGTCTCTGTCCTTTGCTGCACATGAGAAAAGGGCAAAAGCTTAGTGGGGTAAAGGGGAAAGTGCTGTTGGTTTCTCATTAATATGTAAGGCCTGCTTTGAGGGTGGGTGGGTGTGTGTGTGTGCATGCATGCCTGAGTGTGTATGTGTTCTGTGTGTTCCAACACATGTCTGGCTAAGTGATGATATCTAAGGTCACGTTAGAAGCTGCTGTGAAGTGAAGTGTTTGTAAATTCAGCGAAGAAGCATTCCCTTACAGTATGATAATGAGCATTAACTGTATGATCAGTTAATGTTAGACCTTAAATCTTTCAGTTAGTAATGGTTTAATCTCATTCCCACTTAACATTAACTCTCTCCAACAGAAACAGAGAACTACTTCAACTATATTGGAATTAGAAACATCATAAGTGCTTTTTGAAGTGACTCCTGGGTTCCACTGACCCATCATACAGTTTGGCAAGTCATGTTTCATTTTGAAGTTATTTTCTAGAGGAAGGCCTGGTCATTCTGCTGGAATGAAATGTGAGACGTAACACACTCGCTGCTTATTTTTACTAGTCTATAAAGATGTAATGAATGGCACAAAATCATTTCATTCTACCTGAGGCTTGCACTCCTCAAAAGGTTAAAAACCACAGTTTTACAGTATGTGGTGTACCAGGCTACATAAACCCAGTCAGTTAGATGTTATATTCAGTAAAAAAATGTGGCAGTGTTTATCAAAGGTTTTAAGGTCATTTGCACAGCCTCTTGTTATATATTTTATTTCATCATAGTCGTCTCAGGAAAATAAAAAGTCTCAAGTCACTGCACTTTTGTGTAATTTCTATAGTAGAAACTCTGCAAGTACTCAAATGTAGTACTCATGTTCTGCCTGAAAAACGTGGTATTGATGCATCTCTGTAAATAAATTATTGCCACTGAAATGAGAGTTTTTAAAGCCCTGAAACTGGCCAACATTTTCTCCTCTTAGAAACATTTTTATGAGGTGATAGGTTTCTGATGATGAGAAATAATTCAAAATGTCATGATGGGATACTAAACCTTGACATTAAAGACCTGCTTCCCCTCTCCCCAGCATGAAACTTGATATGAAATAAAATGAAACTGAAAAGTGCACCTTCCAGCCATGGCACCAAAAATAATAACATCAATAACATCACACGGGGACTCGTCGTCTTCTCCCTTTTCTCCATCAAGATACTCCCTTATTCTTACATCCACCTTTATTGTTGCTTAGACTGTGTGGCTTCACTCCATTAATTTAGGAAACAAACCAGGTTAATCACTAACAGGTTCATCACTTTTTATGATCCTGTTGTTATAGTTGAAGAGCCTCTACTTGTGGCAGGATCAGGATGTTTCCTGTCATTGCAGTTTAATGTCTGTTAGGAAATGTCCTGTATGAGCCAAATACAAACAGTACTGCATGGACCAGTGCTTACACAAAATGTTCCATGAATTCTTATTGTGCTTATTATGAAATATCTCTTCTGTGCTGACTTTGCAAACACCCGTCTGTTTCAGAAAGCTACCTGCTCATCCCACCTTCACACACAGAATGATTTGAGTATGACCATGTGTATGTATGTGTTAAGAGCATATGCAGTATGACCAAGCAGCTTTGAGCATATGTGTATTCTTGTGTCTTTATTTATTTTGAAACCTTTATTTTACCAGGAAGTCCCACTGAGATCAAGATTTCTCTTTCAAGGGAGATCTGGCCAAGATACAAAACATTCATTCACAAGATAAAAACAATGGACTCAAGAAAAACAGGTACATGTCTCCTTCTCCACATTCTTTATGATGTCCTTAAATTCTACAATAAATATGAATGTGTCTTATGCTCTGTTTTGCCCAATTTAAATGATCCATACACCCTCTTACTTGACCTGCAGCATAGTTCCTCGCATAATGACTATATGCCATTTCTGTGCCTCCTGTGGTGCCTGAAGGACGGGCTTGGCATGAGGGAATCGGTCATCCCATGGTCAAATCCATCTTGTTTAAGTTGTCTGCATAATTTTTGCACTGCACATCATGGATTGAGACAGTATGCTGCTGTTACAAAAAAGACGATTCAGAGTCGTACCCTAGAATTTAAAAATGCGTTTTTCCCATTTTGCAGTGGGTTGAAGGTTTAAATAGGTCACATTTCTTCCTTTTATATTTATTATTACAATCCTATTTATATATTTTTACAAGTATATTAAATGACCAGTTATATAGGTACGTAAGTGAAAAGCAGCTCCTTATCGCTGCAGCCACATAAGTGGGACTGAAAGGTAGGGCCGTTCCAATGCTGGAAAATTTACTAACATATTTATGCAAGAAAAATTGATATAAATACTAGTTCAATGGAAAGTCATCTTTCAGCTCGCTTAATAGACGCTACATTGCTTTTTGATGGATATTTTCTATTTAGCTGTAGTGGGGAAAGAATGTTATATGTCTAAGCAAGTGAGTTTTTTTCTGCTATTCAGGCAGTTTTCCTCATTTTGGCCATCAACAGTAATTTTTTTTCTTTTGCCAGTAAAGCAATCTGGATGATATAAACTTCAGGTAGACTGCTCAATACTGAGCAAGGAAGCCAGTAATAAATCTACCCACCACAGGCGACAGGGAGAAGGAGACTTGCAGTTACTGGAAAGGTTATAGAGCCAGTAATTAGAATAAGCGATGGGACAATCAACTGGTATATAACAAAATATCCTCAGCCAATGTTTGTCTTGTTGGATCATAAAATAAATGGGGTGAATTCTAGCTTTTAGATAGTTTTATTGTCCTCAAGGAGGAAATTCTTTCCCCAGTGGGTGCAAGCATAACATAAACTAAGTGGGACATATAGACTAATACAGGGTTTACATAGTTTTCACAACAGAGACAAAGACGTGAACATTGTACACACCATAGTCTGGAGTTTCTACTTTTTTTTTTTTTTTTTTTTTAAAAAGTGTTTTTTTTTGTTCCCATGGCTTGAGAGAAATTGAACTCAGGTGCGATAAACCAGTGTTTTGTTTAGGGGGCAAACACTTGTTCACACAGGGCTATATAGTTTTGGATTTTGTTTTCCCTTAATAATAAAAACCTTCATTTAAAAACTGCATGATGTGTTTACTTGTGTTATCTTTGACTAATATATAAATTTGTTTGATGATCTGAAACATTACAGTGTGACAAACATGCAAAAAGATAAGAAATCAGTAAGGGGGCAAACACTTTTTCACACCACTGTACATGTAGGCAGTCTATACCTACAGCCGGAAGAAAGGGGGGTTCCAAAGTTCTAAGTACCACCTCAGATTTCCTTTTATCCTTGATTTTAAACATTGAACTGCCTGGTTCAACCAAAGTCCTGCTGCCAGTGGGGTGAAGTGCTTTTCTCAAGGTTTCCCCAACAACAATTGTTGAGTTGAAGCACTTAGTTGTTCACTTTCCTCACCTCATCCAAAAACATTAGCATAATGTCATAACATTTGTCGCTAAATTACTGAGTCGCGGGGGCCCTGGAGCTAATCCCAGTTGATGCTGGGTGAGAGGCAGGTACATCCTAGTTGCCATTCTATCAGAGGGCTGACTATTAATTTGCATTTTACTATAAATCATAATCAAACAGGAAAATCTTACAGATCCAAAACTACAATTATTAATATGAATTACAAGTCAGTTATTATTTATGTGAACCCTACTCACCTGAAGATGTTTACCATGTGCAGTCAAATTCCCATTTGCATGTATTGAAATGAGGCATGGCCAGTTGATTAATCATAGAGAATTTAAGTGCTGGTTACCTAAACATGTTGGGTTGTGTTTCAGCTAGAGTTCTCACCTACTTTCAGCAACCTTCATAAACCCAAAGGTAGCTGTCAGCCATCTTTGCACCTGAGTTGCTCAGCGGACAGTGTAGTTAAATGCTAGGCACTGCTATAGACTGTTGTATGTGTACGTGTGTGTACGTGGACATAGGCCCCTATGCTTGGCAGGTAGGGTAGGAAAATGCATTATTAATAGTATTTGAGATATGCTAAGCAAAGTAAGGAACCTCTTTGATCTGTTCTAGACGCCGTGTCGCCTGCAATCTGCCATGGATTCAGTCATGTGCACACAGCACCAGGAGGCAAGAGCCACAAATTTCTCCTTGATCACCTCTCTCTTTCATCTTCTTTCTTTCCTCTTCTTCTTTCTATTTGAGATACTGCCAAGGAACAATTGTTTTGGTATTTGTCTTGCTATGTCATTGGGAAAGAGAAAGAGGGAGTGAGAAGACGAGCAATAAGCCATTATGATTCTTCCAGTTATTGCAGAATGATTGAAAATTGAACAGGGGAATTTGATGCTAATTAACTGTATATTCGATGGTATTCTTATCACCCAAATTGAATTTTCATGCAGACCCAAGCAGCATGTGTCAGAACAGAGGGCATAATTGCAAATCATAGCCAAGTGATGTATGCAAATGTTGCTCATTTACCCACAAATCTGAAGTCACTTCGCTTTTACCACTTTAATAACTTAAACATAAGGTAGCACTGCAGTAATTGCTGTTTTAGATTAAAATTTCCAGGGCTTAGGTGGAAGAAATGAATGTCTCTAAAGGCTGAAATAAAAGGGGAAGTGAGCTGACAAGCAAAAACACTCAGAACTACTGGCTTAGATATTTATAGCCTTTTTGTAGGACTAATGTTGCAACAAATTTTTGGACAGATATAATTTTTATAAGACTTAATATCACATGAACTTCATGGAGCATAATTACAGACACAGTTGTCTGTGAAGGTGAGATTAGGAACACCTGCGCCCTGCTGTGGACACTGTGGATGTGCACATCAGTGTGTTTTACCCACATGTATGGGGCAGTGAAGAGATCAGGCTTATCCTTTGTGACAGTTGCATTTAAGTCCTTTTCGAATCCAGGTGGTTCAATTTACCAGCATCGTCCCCTTCCACCCCATTCCAACGCACGCACCCCCGCTCAGACATACACATACTCACATGGTCACACACACTCCTCTGATAGGCTGCTGAACGAACCATTGACCTTCACTTTGCAATCTCTGCGGTTGATCAGCAGGCCATTCTTTCATGTAATGTTTACACCTCTGTTGGCTATTTGGGCACAATGGGGAGATTGCCTTTGGTCAACAACCTGTGTCGGCCGTGGACGTTTTCCCGGGCTTGGCCCAAGAGGGAAGAGTCCATCGCAGCAGCACAGCCTAGTGTCACTTTTTCTATTTATTGAAAGGAGAGAGACAGTCAAGGGAACAAATCAAAGTGAAATTCTTTCTGATAAACTTGCTCTTGGTTTTCATGTCTCCTACATAGAATGCAAGATTTGTGTGTCAGTTTGTGGACATATCCATATGAAAAGAGCAACAGGAGAGCAATACAAGACAAAAAACTTTAGTGGAAAATGAGGTTTATCATAGAGAGTAGATGACTTAATTCGGTTTTGGTTCAGTACAATAATTATTTATTTCATGAAACATCTGAGACTTATACATGAAACTAGAGTGTTTCTGAAATGCTATTAGAAAAGTCTGCTTCTGCAGTGTGAGTGGGTTTCTAAGCACTGACATTATAGACTAATTTAGCTTTGGAAGTTTTGTGAGTTGTTTTTCATTACGAGGGTCAGACGGATCAACTTTAAGCTGTTTTATCTTTGGCTAAAGTGAAATGTGACCAGACAAGTGGCTATTCTCTGTCTTTAAATATTCATTGGGCTTTTGGTTAAAACACATTAAGAAAATCAAAGAATGCTTTCAGCCAAGGTGTTAGAAGCAGCAACAAAAGTGAACGTGTTGGCCCCAGTGACCACAGTGTGCTTGAACAAAGAATTCAGTAATCATTTAAATCTGTAAAACTTGCACTCTCCCATAATTTTCTTAAGTTTAACAACAAAAGTGTCCACGACTACTTCATTTATATCTCCTCGTTGACTGCAAGTGCTTTTAACTGGCTTAATTCATAGATCTTATACATGATTAGGTGTAGGTCTTAAGATGCTTTGGTTCAGTTTTGTTGCAAGTTAAATCCTTCCAAATCTTCGGAAATCTTTTCAGTATTGCAAACTCAAAATATTCCTTGTGGGTCCTCATCAGACTCATTAATGTTGTCATTACAGTGGACACCTGTTAGTGTGAACTCATTTGTTCACATATACACAGTCACAGAGCACTGAGATGAGTCATGTCATGAGATGATGGATGTGACTCTATAGTTGTGGCAGACCATTTTCATAGGACGGCCAGGTCGATGCCAGCACACACTTTGAGGTGACACAGAATTGAATACTGTCTTGTTCAGTGTTTTCTGCATGGGGTAGTGGTTAGATACTGGTGTGTAATGTGCATCCCTGATAGGTCAAGGATGTACAAACCATAAATTCAAAACAGTGCAATTTTTTTTTTACTTATTTATTTAGGCTGCTTCATTTCTAGGTACTTGAAAACAGTAATAAGTTACTCATTGTGGCCATAGATGACTGTATATACAAACTCAAATCATATGTATGACTTTGTCTGTGTTCTGTGTAAGATTAGCGAATGTGTGTTTGAGTGTGAAAGACGACAGTGTGGCTGCAAATTTGCAGGGACTGGACTGGGAGCAGGTGTGCTGCTCCCTCAGTGCCAGGACACACGGCCACACTGTGCCAACGATGTCCGCATTTCAGCACCCCTCGCTCTGTCTCCCCCTCCCGCTGTCCTTATGTCTCTCTCCTTCTCTCCACCCTGCCTTCCAGCCTCCTTGTTTCCCAGTTTACCTGTCATCTCTCTCATGTTCTTTTCCTCTTTCTTCTTCCACTTGAATCTTGTTTCCTTTCCCCTCTCCTCCCCCAGCTCCCCAGTGAGCTAATCCCACAGTACCCTTTATTTCCTTCTCCATTTGCATTTCCTGTCTGTGCCAAAACCTTGCCAAATGTCTTGGGGACATTCTGTGGGCTCTTTCCCACCCATAAAGATATTGCTACATGATTTATCAATACTGCAGGATTGTGATGCTCCGTTGTTCCCTGGAAAAAAAATGCTTCTTTAAAATTATTTCCCTCTCAGCCCGATAGCAGAAAGAAAGAATTATGTCCACAGTTTGAACCTGGGTCATTTGCTGTAGAGATGAGCTACCTGTACACCAGCCTGCTGCTGAATGAGGACATCTGTAAACACTCTTAACTGGTTGCATTAAAAGTCATGATTATAGCAAGTATAATGCTGTTAATGTAAACATATTTTTCATTGTTTGATTCCACCACACACATAATGAATTTTAATCAGTTTTATTTGGCTTTTGAAAGCTGTCCACATACACTTGGAGCTATATAAACAACTGTCAGCTGATGTAGTGACCTGTATGCATTAAGCAAATTATGGGATGTCAAGCTGTGCTCTCCACTGCAATCATTAATTTTGATACTGAAGTCATGTTTATTTAAATTTATTTTTGCTTTTTACATTTCACTTTGTTTTTCATTACTAGAAAATACATATTCATACTGTGTGTGAATACACTGTTCCCTAATGTGAGTGCCTTGGATGCACGTCTCTTCCTCTATTAACTACCAGAGCTGAATTTGTTTTTCTCTTGACATATTACACAACAAACCTGATTATTTTCAGCAATGGTATCAATATAAATGCATGAGAACACTGAGCCTGCACAGAGGCAAAATGACTATTTGTGTTTTCTCTCTAACTTTGTCCTCCTGTCCAAGCTCCACCTTTTTAATACCACCTTTCTAAGCTCCCTGTTGTCTTCTAAGCTCCCACACATATACTGTATTAAAACCTTTCAGTCAGCCACTCGTTTATATCCTCACTCTGTCTTCACCACATGTCATCAAACACACACATGCTAATTTAGTCACTAGACCCCAGAATCTAATCAAACTTTCCATCCGCCTTCAACGACTGCTTAGCTCATCTGCACCCAAATGCACTCCAGCAGCTAATCACACACACACACACACACACACACACACACACACACACACACACACACACACATTCAGGTCTCCACAGATGCATAGCCACTTATCATCACCCATCTCTGATTCTTTCCATCACATCGAGCCTTTGTTTTTACTGCATATCTATTTTATTTTCTGTGTTTTTTTTACATTGTGTGCTGTAGCCTGATCTGAGTTCACCTCAACCCTGCACACCACCGTCCATGCTATGCCTCTCAACCTCATCTTGAACCAAGACTCCTAGTCACCTTACAAGCTACAAGACATGGCTGTCTGTCACCTCTCCCTCTCCACTGCGGCAGGTGAACTCTGAGTAAGGGTCACGTAAAATGATTGATCCCTCATCTCCTATTTCAGTAAAGAGAGGAGTAAACCTGTTGCACCTGGGGGATAGAGTGCGTCTCTGGATGCACACAGGTTCTATAAACTTTAGACAAGCATCTCAGAGCAGCACAAACAAGACATAACTCAAAGTGAAGGTGTGATAAGGGCTTTTGGAAGTAGTTGCTGAGCAGAAATGTCTACTGTAAAATTGGGGTCAGGTCACAAACACAAGTCCCAAAAAGATTATAAAAAAAAGTCAGGCTTTTTGATAGTTGAAGGCTTTTTGATGATCTCTAGAGAAAACTCTGAGATTGGACTGAGCCATCTTTTTTATTTCTCTTTGTTTCACCTGTACTCATACTCACTCTCTTTAGATGGAGTATTTCTTAATTACCTTCTTATTCCTTAATGGATGTTTGTTTGTTACTTGGTTGATTGCTTGGTGATGATTTGAACAACATAATGTGACAATGTAATGTTTATTACACACTGATTGGTTTACATTGTATTCCAAATTAATGTAAGCATTGAGTAACATCTTGATTGTGTCTCTGACTGAAATGTAGGTTAATCATTCTCATCATTTATATATTACCTTTTAAACATAGTTGATTTTTTTTACTTTATTATTTTTGATATGATCTTATTAAATTATTATATAGCTTGGTTATGATTGATTGGGAATTCCTTAAAAATTGCTGATTGGTTGCTGATGATGACTGGTTCATATGTTGTATATTGATTGATTGCGGTTTCACCCTTATTTGAATAGGAATATTAATTGATTGTTATAATTTAAGAATTTATTTAGTTAGTATATTTTTTTGGTTAATTGTTTTGATTGGCTGTTATTGATTGGTGAGTTTTGTCTCAATTAATTGGTTATTCAGGTCATGGATGATTTCTTATGCAGTCCAGTAGTAAGAGCCTCAAGAGGCAAGAATCTAAACTTGCCAAACCTGACATCTGTCTCTCTCTCTCTCTGTCTCTCTCTCTCTCTGTCTCTCTCTCTCTCTCTCTCTGTGCTGGCCACACATGTGACTCAAGTGCGTGAGATATTGTATATGGATTCACAGACATTGGGCTGGTTTGGATGACCAAGTTGTCTTCTTTCAACATTGTCTATAAAGTGTGAAATGTGGTTTGTGCCTAATGCTTTACACAAAGTGTTGTCATTTGTGCATGTCAGTACATGTGCTTCTGAATAAATGAACATGTGTATGGGGTGGTCAAACTGTGCCTGCCAATTGTTTCTGGCATGCAGATGCCCAGTTGATTTGTTCTTGTCTGTTTTTTTATACTTGCTTGTGTTTGTGTGGTTTCAAAGATATAGAAGAAGAAGAATACACACAGTCCTGGGGGCAGTACTTTATTACTTTAGTTTCATTGTGCAGCATAAACAGTTTGACAGCTTTATTCCAGTTTACTTGGCTCCTGTTGTCTATATCTTATGTTAAAATGCAGGTGGGATCATTGATTGTTCGCTTGCTATTTGGCATGTTTATCTTTTTTACTTGCAGTATAGGACAGCTTGGGAAGCTTTTTAAATAAAAAAAATGTAGAGGAGTTAATGTTATTGATGGATAGTGTTACTGACCAGCCTAATTGGCCTGAAAATAACAATATATGGCATGTCTAAGTAATACATGAGATGAATACAGTATGTGTAAAAGCTGAACAAAAACACGCCTTTTAAATGCAAAGTGCACTGTATACAGGTATGGAAGCTACATTTGAAACAATTTGCAAACACATTATGATGACAATTTATTGCCTTCTGTCTCATTAAAATTTTTAGTTTACAGTATTTTGTTTGCAATTTAATATGTAGTCAGTAGTTTTCAATAAAGTTTTTTTTAATGAAATAAAAATTAACAACTGAACTTGCCTGTATAAAAAAGCAATATCGTAGACAAAGAATTAAAGCGATGTCATAAAAAACAGCATCTCCCTTAGACACCGACATGGGTACATTTACAGACTGTGTTGGAAAAACACAGAGCTCAATTACAGATGTGGGCCTCTGGGGTCAGGGTGATTGATTCCCTTTTAGAGTGGTTTCATCGGTGAGGGGTCACCAGGTGTTCACATGATGATGGGGATAAAGGGAGGAGGCAGAGGGTAATAACACTATCATAACTGATTAAAGCGGCTGTGGTAATTGATCTTTGTCTACATATGCGAACATATTTTGTCGTACAGTAGCACATTATAGACAGGTGAGAAGGTAAATTAAATAGAAAGGCTCCCAGGCTCAGGCAGAATACCAATTGCCTGGAAAGATAATACGATGCATAGCAGTGTACTGTTCCTCAGAGCTGCTCTACACACAATGAGGAAATGAAATGCGTCACTTTGGAGTGACAGGTAAGACTAATATCTTATATTCCTCCCTGTTGGTCTTTGAGGTTTAATTACATGATACTGGTTTTGTTTTAATACCCATACAAACATCTTTTGTGATACAAACAACAGAAACTGGAATATAAAAGCTATTTTAAAATGTTTATTTCAATGTATATAGATCGTTAAAATCAAGCTTAAAAAGTGCTTCTGTTTACCACTTTGCAGCACAGTTTGCAGTGCAGTGGTGCAGAAAACACAAGCTAGGATTGAAAGATTTTTGTACATTCAGTGGTTATAGTGCTACAACAGTCATTGGTAAACAAATAACTTTTAACATTTCCCTAAACAGTACAAATCCCAAAATGCAACTCCTTTCTCAGGTTAAAATCTCTTCTGTCCCCAGATTTATCATTCAGTGGTATTTTAGCATAATAACAAAGTAACTGAAAAATAAACAGACATGTGACAAATTAGTGGAAAAAGCTCAATATAAGGCTGGAGAAATGCACATACTTCCATAAAGGAGGGTGAGGGTCACTGAACAGTGTGAGTGAAAATGATGTGAATCATGTACAACTATCTATTATTAAATACAAACAGCTGGATGCATATAACTTCGGATGCACAAAGAAATAAATTATATTCATTCTTGTCCTTAGATTTGTAGTGTATGCATTATTCCATTTAAAATAGTCATAGAAAAACCTGGGCATGTGCATGACTTTGATTTCTACTCCCATAATTAATCCTGAATGATTGTAGAGTCATCTATAATAAGGAGCACCGACACTGTTCTGATGACCCCAGGTGGGCCTTACCAAGACATCGTGCTGGTTTTAATTGGTCACCCATCTGTGTGACGATATCACTGCCAAGAAACAATAAAATAAAGCACGCTGTCATCACTTGGAAAGAGACACCTTGATTCCTCCTCTTGGGTCTTACCAAGCTCCCCATGGTGAAAGAAGGTTTAAATAACCTACTATCACTGATTTTAGGATTCACCTCTTGCCTTATTTCTTTGTCCTGCAGTTATTTTGGTTCTCCTCTGTTATCTCCTTTTCTCTCTCCCTCTTCTGCTCTCCTTTAGTCTTAAAACTGTATCTAGGGAGTGAGTGGGTTGCATGTGTTAACTCCAAAGGTGTTTTATTAAAACTCCAGTGGTATAATGTAAAACAAGCCACAGTAGTAAATAAAACTATACCTTAATACATTTAATTAAGCAGAAAGGATGATTAAAAAAGATGACCTGTTTAATTTTGTTACAGAAAATATGTGGTTTACTTTATACAGAATTGGCTTTTTGCAACAGCTGAAATTAAAAATCCACTTTTTCCTCGGAATGGACTACAAATTAAAGTGAAAAGTTACAGTAAGATGCATTCCTAATGAGGATTCTCCACTGATCCGTTAGATATGTCATGAATCAAAGACTGGATTTTAACAGCAAAAACCAAAAGTGTGTGAAATTAAAATGTCCAGTAATGAATATAGACATGATTGTGCATACATGATGATGAGCTGTAATAAACTGGAGACTGCAGAGTCTGGCTTCCCTCGGGTTGTCTGCGGACTGGGATGATTTAATTGCGCTTGTGGTAGGGACCTTTAGGGAAGAGTTTTAATTTGTCAGGCCAATCATCATAATGTTGGCCTCTGGTCAAGACCCATTTTCATCCATTCCATCAGAAAAGCAGGGTCACTTTAGTCTGATGAGTCCTCTACAGTCAGATATAGCCGAATCATTGTTGATTAACTTTAAATTAACTATCAACAGCTGTCCCATTAATGTTTAGATCTGTGGAGAAATAATGCAAAGGTCATTCAAAGTTCTATAAAGGTTTCCACAATGTTCATGCAAAATGAAACATCTCTATATAGAAATGTGTTGAGGGAAATGTTTCTTTGCAATTTAACACACATTTTGTCATTTCTGTTTCATTTTGGTTCTGTTGGAAGTAGCCATGTAAATCTTCCTTTCCGTGCGAAGACTGTTTATGTCCCAAGGGTGTGAATAACTTAGTTGTGCTTCTTTTCCTAAAACATGCATATCTGAGGGAAGAGAAAGCAATGATTCAGCTTGTTTGCATTTAGATTAGTCTCTTACATCAGCACATTTTCAAAAATAATCTTGTAAGCCTATCAGCTAATTCCATGAGGGTGTAAAATGTACCATATATATATATTTGTAATATACTGTTAGAAAAAGGAAATATATTATTACTATTAATAGTAAAGCAGGTACTTGGTGCAGTGACTTGCTAAAAAACATCATTACTCGGGTCACTTTTCACTTTAATTATCATTTTTGTCTCTTTGAATGAAAACAAACCAGTAACACGTTCCCTGTCTGTCACATTTTACAGTACATATAAGTCATGACTCTTATTATCACAGGCAGGATAAATGAGGATCCTGGATATGTTTATGATGTAACAATGACAGCGGGGATTCAGTTGACAAATCTGCTGACACTGCAGTAGTTAGGGCCAGGATTTATCACTCACTGATGCATTTTGATGAAATCAGAAAAGCATGAAATTGAAAATAAACCAGTGCATATATTGATCTATTTCCATGCTGTGGTGGTATAAAATAGTTTCTGTCACAAACAGAGGCAAATTTCATTTTAACTATATTCAGTGTATTTGCATATGAATGCAAGAAAGGACCGTGGTATATTACAAAATAGTTGTGCTTTCCAAAGATTAAACTAAAATGTGAGGTATTAGATTCATATAATCTTTTTATTGCCCCACTATTTGATAACTCTAATTCTAATGTAGATCATTAGGACTATAGTTATAACCTCGCAGGTACTATTGTTCTTTAATTGAATACTATTTATGTCAGTATAACTCAGATCTCGTCAGAATCAAAGCAGGGATTTATGTCTATGATCAGAAAGCATTCAGTTTTATCTAGGAATGAAATTATTGCTACAACCAGATGGAGAGAATCTGGAAATAAGCAGAGAGAGATACAGAGACTTTTGCCATCCAAACTGCTAAGCCAAGGGCATCTTTCTTCCATTGAAATGAACCCTCCAGTTATGTGTGCATGGCACCGTATCAGAGATCTTAAACAGCCTTTTTAAATCTGTTGTGGGCTTCTGTATCGCTTGGCTGGGTTAGTTCATTACCTTCTTTAGATCGGTGCGCAGCATTACAAAGGTGAACTGAGCAGTATGTGGTCATGACAGATAAACTGCTGTATGGTTTAAGGAAGGGAATGTTAATAAACCTTGTGAGGCCTGACTCATGGGCAGAAAGCCTATCCGTCAACAGAGGAAGGAATTGACCCTAAATCTGCTGAATAACCCTTGAGCAAACATTAAATCTGTTCCACCTCCAGGGCAAAATGTTGAAGACATGATCAGATTTATTTTTGACAATCATTTTAAAATTGGGTCCCTGCGGTCTCTACTTGGTGCTGTTTTAATACACGAAACTGCATGGGCAACAAAATAAAGACATCAGTATCATACTGTGAAAAAAGAAACGGTGAAATAAAGGGGACTAACAAGAAGGATAAAAACTCTGATATAGAGACACTGTGACCAAGATGTGCAAACGGCACTTGGCTTAGGTGAAGGTCATCTACAGTAGGTTCCAGGCTGCTCCTGCAGTGACTGTTAAGTGTTTTTGTACTAATGACATGCAAGATGTGAAATAGCAGGTCTACCAAGGACAGGGACAGGGCACGCTAGCAGAGGTAGAGATAACTGGAAAACCGCTGCTCTGCATGGTTTTGGTTCATTGTATAAAAACATGCAGAGCATGAATAGAGCTTTTTATTGCTGTTAAAATGTGATTATGAAGAATAGTGCAATTTATCTCTTGTGTTACTGTGTGTGAAAGGAGGGTGAATTATGCATGGAAATTACTGAGTTTACCACTTTAAGGAGAATCCAGATAAATATAAGTATCAGTGCAAACTGGTCTAAATGTTTTATCAAATTTACTTGTATTAATCTGGCTTAATATTTATCCTGGCTGGTACAATTCTGTTATTACTTACTAGCAAGCAACTGGTATATTTATATGTATTAACAACTTGGTAGTATTTCGATATACAGTATCTGACACATTTGCCAAATTTGTTTGAAATTGTTCTTTAAACAAAACCTTCTGTCTTGTAACCCTGAGGCCAACAGAAACCAAACTTGCCAGAGGCACAGCTTAATTTATCTTTTCAAGCCTGAAGCATGTCCAGGTTGGCAGCACTCTCTCAAAACAGGGTTCTTTCATTTGCAAAAATGTCAGTGAAATGAATATCTGAATTCAAAACGTTGCACTACCAATGGTCCGTTCAATTGTAAAAAGGTCACAGGGACTCTAATGAGGTGCCTACTGGGAAAATAACAAGCCCCTTAATGCCTTGATGAACTCCTCCCCATGT